AATATTTAATTTAGTGAAGTTATCATTAAATAAATATTTAATTTAGTGAAGTTATTATTAAATAAATATTTAATTTAATGAAGTTATCATTAAATAAAATTCTATTTTACAGATTTAATAAAATTATTATATTTGATTCTTGAATTTTAAATCTATTGCTATTGAGACATGAAAAAATTAAATATATATCATAAATGAGAAATATAGATAATATTATAAATGAGAAAATATATAGTATTATAAATAAGATTACAAAAAAATTAAATTTTATAGTTTTATCTTTTACTTTTTACTATATACTTATTACTAATTAAAATATTAAAAATTTAATATAAGAATAAATATATTATCAACAAATAAATAATACTTTTATTTTTTAACTATTACTAAAGGTATATTACTACATGTTGTATTTATCTAACAGATAGTTACTACTAAAGACATATTACACTTTTAATTTATATTACCAATTAAATAATACTCTTTGTATTCTTTATATTATCTATTGAGCTACTCAGTTTATGTATATTATATTTAATAAGTTTCTATAATATAAACATAAATGCTAAGAGGATTATTAAATGATAATTAGAGATATTAATAATATTAAACTTATAGCTTGAGCTAGATTTGAATTTGAAAAATTCTATATTTTATATATAAATTCAAATTTAAATTTACATATAAAACTTTGAATTTCTCAAATTTGAATTTAACCTCTAATTTTATACAAGTAATAAAGTTCTTATTTCAGATTCTTAAAGACTAGAGATTATTTATATAAAGTTATAGATTGTTCACTTAAGACTAGAAGTATTAACTTTCTTTAGTAAAAAATTACTATTATATTTTTAAAGTTATCTGAGTGAAACACTATTTGAAAGTATACTTGCTTACTTGCTAACCAAATACCTCAAAAATATATTGTATATAAAGCTATAAAAGTTAATTAATTGTTATAATATTTGAATTTAAAAATAACTCATCTGCTCAGCTTTTAATTTTTTAATTATAGAAATTTTATGTTTTTTATTCAGAAAATTTTAAGTATTCATATCAATATATAACATAAAATTTTTTCTCAAAAATTTACAAAAACTGACCTGACTAGGTTATGAATTAACTTTATATAATCTAATACAAAAATTTTTTTCTGTATGTATATATCTAAAAAAAATCTGTATTATATTTTATAGCAAACTAACTTAAAAGATAGGTTTAGTGATAGATTTTTAAGTATTTGTCCTCAGATGTTTATGTAACAAACTCTAAAAGTAAAAAAAGCTAGTTTTTTAGTTTTATAATTGACTTCATATAATCAAATATGACTTACAGAAAAAAAAAGTTTTTTAAAAAATTTTTTTTTGAATATAAAAGATATAGTGATAATACATAAATTTAATTTTTTTTTTTAAAAAAAAAAGTATAACTCGAACTTTAAAAAATGTATAGTAATATGAAATTTTATTGAGTTTATGATTAGTAGCTATTCAATCAGAGATTTAATTTACCTCTAGTCAATAGAAAAAGTAGGTGAAAATTAGTAAATATAAGTAAAATAACAAAAATTATATCTCATAACCAGAACTCTAATTCTGATGCAAAACTAAATTAGAAGATCATATAGGACCTGCTTAGGAAAATATAAAGCAAAAAATGCATTAGTTTAAAAAAGAGCAAAGCTCTCATGTTCTATATAAAATATATAAACAAAATTCTGCATATAAAAAACATTTGCTTTCAAAGGAACCCTAGGCTTTACAAAAGCTAAAAATGTATAGTTTGCTTCTAAAAAGACAAAACTTTCTACCACTTGGCAGGATGAGAAATCTATCAAGAAATCTGAAAAAAGTTGAAATAGAAATTTTACAGCTAACTAGCCTAGAAGCTTCAACAAAATTAGATATAATAATAAGTAAGAATTCAATAAAAGAAGCAATTTACAGTACACAACCTAAAGAAAAAAAATGCAAAACAGAAGAATGCATCTAAGAGAACTCATAAGCATTAAACAGCTTATAAGCCTAAGCAAAGCAACATAGTTAAAAAAGAAAGCAAGCAGAATCTTAGTTAGCTTCATTAAATACTTCTAAGAATGTTTTTTCAAATATCTGTAGAAGTTTTAATATGAAATCATGACCAATTAGAAAAAGAAAAACAATATCATAACTAAGAACAAAAAAAGAAAATGAAGCAGAAAGAAAGATAAAGACCAAAGAAAATATTTAATCTAATGATATGAAAAAAGGAAAGATAAGTGAAAAGGATAAGAGAATACAAAAAGAGGTATTAGAAAGAGTTGATACATGGGTGTGAACTAGTAAAAAAGAAGGGTAGTTAAAATTAAAAACAAAATAAATTATCTTAATACAGACTAGTAGTAGCCTCTTTTAGACTAAAGGCCTATACAGATCCAAATTTGAAATTTTAGCAAGATTTCAGTAAGCTATCAGTAGAATATCAGATATTTTTTTGGCCAATAGCTACTAGATACTTGGCACATATCATATACTTATCAGATAGATATTGATTTTAATAAGCCTATCAGATATCAGATACTTCTATCATAAAATATCTGATATCTAATATTTTATGATAGAAGTATTTGATATCTGATAGGCCTATTAAAATCAATATCTATCTGATAGATAGATGATATGTGCCAAGTATCTGGTAGCTATTGACTAAAAAAATATCTGATATTCTACTGATAGCTTATTGAAATCTTGCTGAAATTTCAAATTTGGACCTGTGCTAGAGTCTGTATCTACAGACTAAAGTTTTTGTGAGAGAAATTGTTGCTATAGCAGATCATATCTGAGCATCTTAAGGTAGTCAGATAAGTTCAAAATAGGTGAAGAAAAGAATTTTATTATATATTAGATAGTAATTTACTTTGTAGCATATATAAGCTTTTTCTTAATAAAATAATAGGCAAGATCACCAAAAAAAAAAAAAAAAAAATTATGACCATATCTTTTAAAAATATTAGCATCATAAGAATATACAACTAGAGATTCAATAAGTTCAAATTTATTAGAAAATGTAATATCACAAATCTGTTTCTAATTACTTTTTTTAAAATTATAGTTATTAGCAAATAAAATCATATATTGTTCCTAAAGAATAGTTTTAAGAAGAACTGAGTCTACACTATTAAAGTTATGAATAGAAAATCTATTTTTAGAATAATAAAGAACTAGTGATATGTTTGATATATTAAATAATATAGTTGCTATATAAGCTATTTAAAATATTAATATTGTACTAGATATTCGTATTTCATAAAGATTATGATAGTTATTAATACAGCTAATTATAAGATTGTTTAACTATAATTTATCAGTAATTTATTAAATAATTTACTAGTAATTTATTAAATATTACTTTATAATACAATAAATTTGAATTTAAAAGTTAAATATAAATTTTACTTATATAATTTCTAATATACTTTTGAATATTTATTCTATGAAATTTAACAGTCTTCTCAAGCTTATTAAAAGCTGTTTGATAAGTTGTACATATTACTATACTAGCTATTATATTTATACAATATGCTGATGCTTCTGATTGTAACATAAATAATTTAATTTTAGTTTTCATATTACATATTTGTTTGTTTTGTAATTCTGCTATTTGATAACAAAGCAGCATAACTTTTTAATACAGAGGCTTTTTAGTTAGTTTATTTTTTCTTCCAAGATTCATAGCTAGGAAGAATGTATTAAACAGATTCTTTAATTTTGGTTCTTAACTTTTAATAACCTTAATAAATTCTTGTACATTAAAAATAGATTGATTTCTTTTACATTGATGATTATATAAGACTTTAGTAAGATAGGAAATCTGTATACTAAAAATCTTTAAAAATTTTTTAGATACTGTAAATATTATATTTTAAATTAAAATTTATTAATAATATACATATAACAATAATTTATTAAATAGATTATAATATAGCCAATTAAATTACTATTTATTGTCTTAGAACTTCTAAGTTAGTGATGTATTAGTTCTATACTTTGAGGTTTATAATCATATTTAGATAAATCATTTTCTTCTACTATTTAAAACAGTTTTTTGAGTTTATTTCTTTCATTTATTAATCTATTTGCTTTATTCGAATCATTAAATTCTAATATATAATTAATCTTAGCCTTACTAATACTTTCAGTCTTATTTTTAATTAAGAAATTTCTATCATCAAATAGTTCATTACCATTACTCTCCAAGGCTTCTTCAAAATCTATCTTTTCTTCAACTACTTTTATAGTAGATTTTGACTCAACTTTAGCTATAGTTAAATCATTCATATTCATAGTTTTACCTTGTAATCATATCATTAATTTATTAATAACACCTCCTAATTTATAAGAGAAGTTAACACTTTTTTTTAGCACTTTTTATTTTTTTTTTGATTATATATGATGTAGTTATTATAATAGAGCTAGTATAACTGATCATTAATCTGAAGCTTAGTGGTAACAGCTGAATTTTCTTTTATTCTGACAAGTAGACACTCAGTTAGTTTTCTAAACTTTTCTTTAAAGCCTTGCTAGCCACATATGACACAAAGACCTTCATTTTGATGTTATTTTCCTCTTGATATTATTACTAGTTAAAACTAAAATAGAATTAAATAAAACTATTTAGAGATCACTAAAGTATGTATTACAATGAACCTTTATATAAAAATTTGGCTTACTTTATTATGTAGTATCTCGTAACTTTAATATATGTATTTTAGATTATATATCTCTAATATATATTTAATCATTCTAATTGGTTCAAATCATATGCAACTCTAAATTTGATCGACCAATAAAATAGATTTTTAACTATGCTACATACTACATATAACAGAAATAAAAAATACAAAATAAATAAATCATGTAAATAAATATATATTATACATAAATAAAAAATATATAAATATAAAGAATTGGATAACAACATAGAAAGATTACAAATACAGTTAGTACATCTCATTACTAGATATATAGTGTAAAGAATCAAGTAACAAAAAAGGTACTAGAATAAAAAAAACCTCTAATAGCAGATATTTAAAGCAAAGCTTGAACAAAGGTTTAAACAAAGAATAGAATTAAATGGAATTAGATGTATTAAACAAAGTGTATAGTACTCTAACCAAAAATTCTTGTACCTACCTGGCCTACTCCAAAAGGGAAAAACAAAATTCTATCATTTTGTCTCTTATTTCTTCAATCATAGCTAGCTTGCTTCAGCAGGCAGAAAACTACTAGCTATTCCTATAGTGACTCCTAATATAATCATGATTGCTACTGTTATAGGATGTCTTTACTGTTCTGACTATATCAGCTAATCAATCACTTCTCTATCATATATAAAATTGCTAACTTTTCAATAAAACATCACCTCTAATCTGATTATCTGCTAGCATAATCCAAATGATCGCACAGCATATCATATAACACAAATATTTTTCAATATTGTATATAGTATATAAGATACTGTTAGATTATAAGTTAGTAGCTCTATTCAATATCATGTTATTTTTTTTTTTATTCTTATCTATTTTCTTTATTATTATTCTATTATTTTCTTTAATTATTTGTATTATTTTATTTATTCTTATTTCCTGTAAATAGTTATTATTTATATTTTTATTCTGCTTATAGCTTTGTTTATATCTAAGAACTATGATAACAACTAATGTAAACATTAGGGCGAGCAGTTGAGCTGATTGTTTAAGCTATAATGCTAAAAAGATTTACAAATTTGTAAATAATAAATATTAAGGTGAGTAGTGTGGCTTTATACTACGTGAGGCTTAACTACAACTGCTTACTAGTGAGAAGAATAAGCTTAGCATTAAGAAAACAGAATAGTATTAGTATAGTCTTCTAAAAAATGAGTTTTGTATAAATATGGGTCCTCTTCACTCTTCTGAAAGGACCAGTTATTGATAAACTAAAAATAAATAAACTACTATTTACCTTAAATCAAATATTTTTAATTTCCTAATTGTCAAATTCTCTAATCCTACTATATTTAATAATCAATTTCTCACTAAGTTTGTTAAATTATTAAATAAAGAATATGCTAAGTTTCTTAATTAATATAAAGAAAGTAAGCATTGAGGCCAAATAGACCTTTCACTGAGTAACTAAGAGCTGTATTCTTGATGAGTTTTATAGAAAGTAACATCATATGTAATATTATTATTTAGATTATTATATAATTAGATATCACGAGTAATAATATATTGTAGTATTGTTAATAGAATTAGTTATTTAAATTAGTATAGAATATTACGATTATTTATTATTAATATAGTGATCAATATTTGGATCACTTTTAAGTAATTAGTTTATTGTTATTCGATTAAGAGAAATATAACCCCTTAGAATTAGTTATCAAATTATTCTGATCATCCCTTAAATTATCAATCTGACCTTTATATAATATATAATGTATATATATAGTTTATAGAATTCCATTGCTTTTACTAGTAATCAGACATTATAATCTATATTACGTTAACTATCAGAACTAAATTGTATAACAATATCTGCTCTTCAAATTTACGATAGTAATATTTGGTACTAGTTATGTGAATAAATTGAACAAATTATTAGAAATATTAGATTAAAAACATTAACTTGGAATATTTCTATAACCAAATTATAACTTACCAAAAGAATTATAATAGCTAATAACCCTTTAAATAACTTCACAAACCAAAATGCCCAGTTGGTTCAGCAAATGCAGATAGTACTAGTTCTACAAATAAATATACCAGTTGCTTATCAAGAACTAAATTTGGTTCCTATTCCGAATTTTCAGGAGAAGTTCAAGACCTGATCTCTTGGTTAGAGGATATATAAAAGGCTTTTGAAGCTAACCATATTGCGAATAGTAGAAAGATCCCTATAATAGTCCCTAAACTAAGAAGATCAGCTTCTACATAGTAAGAATTTGCTAAATACCAAGTACTAAGAATTGACTATTATAGTGATAATGCTAATACTGCTCAAAGCTTTAAGGCTAATTTTATCACAAAATTTTGAACCTCCAAGTTAGAAGGCAAATAGTTCATCTAGTTAACTTAATGAAAGCAACTTCTTGAAGAAAATGTTAATTTATATCATGTAGCTATTGAAGAAATGATTTGCTAGGTTAAGGCTGAAGGTCACCAATACCCTGACTCAGCCAAAGCTCAGATGTTTATTAATAAACTGAGATCAGAGTTATATATGGCAGTTTCCTCTTTCACTACAAATGCATTACAAGCTACCTAAAACAGAGCAAAAGCCTTTGAAAATGTTTATAAGCAAAATCCTACATATGCTGCCTTTTTAGAACAAACTGTAGAATACCTACTTCAACCTGCTCAACATCAACCTATATCTATCCAAGTTCTGACTACCTTTTCAAATAAAACTGAATCAGCTATAAATCGACTTACTAAAACAATGAATAAGATAATGGCCCAAATACAAGAACAAAGACGTTTACTGAGAAATTACCAAAATAATCAAAGAAATTCAAACTCAAATCTGACTATATACTATAACTGTAGATGTTCTGAGTATATTAGTCATTAATATAATACTCCTCACTAGCTCCTAGTTATAAATAACTCTCTAATGAATCCCTCACTAAATTCACCAAATGATACTAACTCACAAGAAACATTATTAGGTTACTAAATTTGATCTAACAAACTAACCAACTTTGATTCCCAGAAGAATATTCAATATACCTAGAGATTAACGCCAAAGATATTTCTATTTTTATTCTCGCAGAGGTAGAGATAAGAAAAAACAATCTAATCAAAACTTGCACTAAAAAAAGAAAAGTAGATGAAGAAAATATAGAATTAATAGAAAAAGAAATAGTAGAAGACAAAGATAAAGAAGAAACTCAACTCACTCTAATTAAATATAAACTACTAGAAGAAAAGAAAATTATAAAGAAAACTACACCTGTAAGAAAAAAGAAATTAGAAGATGATACTCACAAATTTTGTCCCTAGTCACCCCATATTCCATTGTCACTGAAATCTAAGACAAACTAGCCAATATTACCTTTGGATAGTTGTCTAAGGCTACCTCCTCTATGAGGTCTGATTTAATCTGATTTCTACAAAAGAAAAAGATAATAGTTAGTCAAAAAATCAAAGCAAATGTAAATCTACAAAATATCCAAAAGTCAACTGCCCTCTATTGTAATGCAAAAGTTCAAGAAAAAGTAATTCCACTAATTGTTGATAGTAGATTATCTGGAAGTATTGTATTGTTATATCTTTTAAAAGACCTAGGTATAAATATAGACTACTTGTCTACAGTTAATATGATTAATATTTATAGTGAAAGCAAGAAGACAATTAGCGAAATTTCTGATTTTCCATTTGTTGTTAGAGGGATAAAAATCCCAATAGATATCATCATTACTAATGCCAACTCCTATAACACCCTTGTAGATAAAGACTAGTTATCAAAGGTAAATATACTAATTGATTAGAACACCTCTGAAATGACCTTAACGTGAGAAAAAAAAGAAATCACCATATCTGTAGAATTCAGAAAAGTCACTTCAATACTACTCGAAGACAAAAGATCTACAAAAATAAGTGAGAAAAAAATTAAAGTTAGTGAAGAAGAGGAAACTGAAGACAAAGAACAAAAAGAAGAGGAATTCAAAGAAGAAGAGTTAGAAGATTAAATTTATAGACTCTCAGAATTTAAAGATAAAGAAAATAATGAAAACTTTAAAGATACCTCTAAAGAATCGAATTATGACAAATATTATGGAAACTCCAATAAAAATAATCTCTAGGCTAGAGAAGCTTGGTGGGATCAAAATAGTGATGAAGACTATATTAAAGAAAGTAATTATAGATGAGAATATAATATAAATGAGAAAGAAATAAGTTTAGTAGCACTACTTAACCCTAGGCCTATAGATAATCTGTAGCTAATGGGCATTGATCTACTGAAAAAAAGATAGAATGAGGAACAATGTATTGATAAATTCCTAGAATTAACTCTAAGAAAGATAATCTAAAAAAAATCTGAAGAAATCGCTAATCTTTTTGACTTTCACTTTGATAAAAAGAAAGATCTGGTCATAATGTATAATATCGAGACTCTTCCTAAAGATTAAAAGAAAAAGTTAGAAATGATCTTGAATAAAAATTCAGATCTCTTTGCTAAAAATATATCCGAACTTAGTTGTACTAATAAGTGTTACCATTGAATAATCACTGCAGGAGCTTTACTAATAAAACAGAGGCCTTATCAGCATTTAATAAAGGAAAATGAATTTCTTAACAATAAGTTAAAAATAATGAAGGATAAAGGAATAATTTGAGTTTTTTATAGCTCCTGGTCCTCTCTAGTAGTCTTAGTAAAACAAGAAGAGAGAAAAACACGTATCTGTATAGGCTACCAGAAGCTTAACATTGTTATAAAGAAAGACAATTATCCTCTTCCAAGAATTGGTGATCTCTTGAATGCATTGAAGGGATTATCTTAGTATACTTCTCTAGACCTTGCTAGTACATACTAGTAGGACAAAATAACTGATGAATATAAAGAGAAAATAGCTTTCATAATACATGAAGGGATCTATGAGTTTAATGTAATGCTCTTCAGATTGGCTAATACTCCTACTACTTTCCAATGATTAATAGATAAGATTTTCTGAGATATTATAGGAAAATTCATCATCATATACCTTGATGATATCAATATTTTCTCTAAAAACTTTGATAAGCATCTCCTCCACCTCCAAGAAGTTTTTAAATGCTTACGAGAGGTAGGTCTTAAACTAAAACTCTAAAAATGCTTCTTTGGGAAGCATCAGTTAAAATTCTTGGGGTATATAGTAAATGTTGAAGGAATTTCAACTAACTCACAAAAGATAGAAGCTGTTTGAAACTTTCTAATACCCTTTAACATGAGACAACTACAAGAATTCCTAGGACTCACCTCCTATTACTAAAAATTTGTACCAGGATTTACAATATCATAGCACTACTAAACCTCTTATTAAAAAAAAATAAATATTATAAGTAGAGTTCTGAACAAGAAAAAGCCTTCAAAAGACTAAAAGAAAAACTTATCATTACTCCTATCCTAGCCTACTCTGACAAAACTAAACAATTCTTATTGTTTACTAATGTATCTGATTTAGCATTAGGTACTGTTCTCTCACAACTTGATTCTGAAGGCAGAGAACAAGTTATCTCTTACACTAGCTACAGTTTATCTTTTGCTAAAAAGAATTATCCTTTAACCAAGAAAAAGTGCCTAGTAGTCATATGAGCTATATTCTATTTCTGACAATATTTACACAGCACTCCCTTTACCTTATACACAGACTATTCTGCTCTAAAATTCATGTTCTCTTATAAGTTACACCAAAATAGGCTTGCTTATTAGATCCTGACATTACAAAAATATTCTTTTAAGATAATATATAAGCCTGGGAAATAATACTTGAATACTAATAGCTTATCTTATATATAGTCAAAACCTAAAAAAAAAAAAAAAAAAAACAAAAAAAAAACTTTTATTAATAATACAGATACTTCTAATAGAAAAACTCCTTACTGATATAACCCAAATAGATCTTAATATATATTACCTATATTTAAGATATCTTAGTGATGCTATAGTATCTTCTGGATATAACCTTAAGCAACTAGGCTATCAGACCTGCTACTATTTAATATTAGAAAGATTATTGTATAAGAAAAATTGACCTAATCCTTCAAGACCTCAATGAGTTCTTAAGCCCTCTGAAATAGAAGCGGTCCTATTCAGTATCTATTCTAACCCTTTGCCAGCTACCTTAATATTAAGTCTACTCTTCAATGAGTTTCAATTCATTATTTCTGGTCTCAAATGAGCAAAGATATTAAAGCTTATATTAAATTATATGATTCTTGCCAAAGACATAGACAACTCAGGACTAAAGAACTATTATACCCTATATAAGTTGAATTACTCTTCGACCAAGTAGGAATAAACATTGTAAAACTACTACTAGTTACCATGAAAGGAAGTCACTATATTATTGTTGCAACAAAGTATTTAACCTAATGGCCCAAGGCTCATGCTCTTAAGAAAGCAGATACTATCTTTGTAGCTAACTTTCTTTTTGAAAACATAATCTGTTATCATGAGAGCTCAAAAGTATTACTCTCTGATCAAGGCTTCTATTTCTGTAACAAAATAGTGGATACCTTCTGTAATAAAATGAAAATTAGTTATAAACTATCTACTACCTACTACCTACAGACTAATAGGTTAGTCAAAAGATTCAACCAGACCTTTGCGAAGTACTCGCTAAATGTCTAAGTCATTTTGGAAATGAATAGGATAATTATATATTTCTAGCTCTATTTACATACAGAACAACTTGCTATAGTATCACTTGATACAAACTATTCTTCTTAATGTACAGACAAGATACTCTCCTCCTAATAGAGACTACTCTAATTACCTATTCCACAGAACCAATAACTGAAGACAAACTACAAAAAAACATATTAAGGCAGATTGAAATATTGTTGGGAAACTTATTTGAGGCCCGCTATTAAGCCAGTAGTAGGACTAGTAAGATACAACAAAAACAATGTAACTATTATAACTCTAAACACATAATAGAGTTATATGAAATTAGTGATTTGATGCTTCTATTCAAATCATCCTTAGTAATATCACATAGCTCCAAGCTTAAGGAAAAGTAGAGTAGACCTTATTACATCTACAAAAGCTTTGGGAATAGTACCTACAAATTAAGAACTATAGCTAGACAGATTTATAAGAAACCTGTACACGGTAACAGGTTAAAAAAATACTTCACCTAAAAAAAAAAAAAAAAAAAAAAATGTTTTGAGCAAACAAATAAACAAATAAAATAATAATAAAGAAAATAGATAAAAATAAAAAAAATAACATGATATAAGATGGGGCTACTAACTTATAACCTAATATATTCCTCCTTTTTAGATTTGAGCTCCTGTGATAGTCTTATAGAGCTCGAGGAGTTTCAATTCTTCTTTATTTTTTATAGCCTTGGCTTCCTCTACTAACTTCTTAAAGTTACTTTTGTATATTTTTAATAGGACATGATGTGTGATGTGTTAGGCACAAAGGAGGTTCGGGATACCACAGCAGAGATATAGGGTATAGGTGTGTAGAGCTGTCTTTCAAACATTTCGATGACCATTTGGGAACTTCTTCTGGACTATATTATGGACAAGGTCTTCCCAATCTTTATTGTTAAGCTTCTCCTCTTGATGATAAAAGTTTTGTAGATTGGTTACTGAGTCTGGTAAAAGTTTATTCAACTTTTTACAGAGGAGTTTCACTTGCAGGTTTCAACTCTCTCCAATCACAGTTTCTAGGAATCAGAGAGTTAATTCTTTCCTTTGTAGGTCTTTTTAGAAGAATAACATTTTCTCATAAGCTTTTTGGGCTTCCATGAAAGTAGAGATTATTTCTACTTCTATCTCTAATTTTTCTTGGTTTATATAGTTTATCTTCCTTTTGAAAACAGTGAAGGTCTCTTCCATTTCTTCATTCTGAATTTGCCTTTGGAGTAACAATAGTGTTTTTCTTATATTGTGGGGAATTTTTAAAGAATTTATTTTTATTCATAATTTGTTTTCATTTTTTTTTTGTTATTAAGGCCACTTCCTTGGCCAATTAGATTTTATTAGTTTGTTATTACGAAACTATCATATGAACAGTTTCCTAAAGTTTATAGTTACATGATGAGTGTACAACAAGCTACACATACAACTTTAGTCATTGTCTAATTTAAGTAGTCTGCTATACAGACGATCGATCATCTGTTGGTTCTACACTATGCTACTATACCTGCAACCTGCCTGTGAATTACCTATTTAAATACTCTGATCATTAACTCTTCTCCCCATCCCAAACTAATGTCATCACTATGACCAACTACTTAAGCCAGCTGGTTTACTTGTAGATCTATTCTCTGCACAGCTTAGGTCCTCTTGAGATGTGTATACCCAATGTATTGTAAGTCACAAAGCTCCAGTTAACCTCGAAAGTAATTCTTACCAGAGTGATCATATGCCCATTTCACAGATTCACCTGGATTAGACCCTTGTCGATGTTCGTATGAACCCAGTTCCTGCTGTAGCTGTCTACCAGATATAGTTCTCCAAGTTCTAGCCAGATGTTTTATGAGGTAGATTCTCCCAATCTAGTTAGCTGCCAAGCCAAGTTAGTGTTGCCACTAATGCAAGACACCAGGCTGTGTTACATAGCAAACTTACTCGCATATATCGATCTCACATCCTTCATACTCAGGTTTTTTTACTAGATCAGGTGTTAACCAGCTTGACCGTCGAAATCCATACTACTTTACCAAACTCGGGATTTCTACCATGCAGATCCTCTGCCTGTAGATCCTATCAAGATTTATTCATGCAATATAACTCAAGCATTGCATCACACTTCTAATATCCAATTGATATTGGTGCAATGTGATTTACAGGGTTGAACCCCCAGAAATAGGCAGAGTTTACTGTAAGTTGAGTACAAAGGTCTGGGTAATTATTCAAATTCATTGACAGTAGGATTTGAATTCCAGACCTCTTGCATGGTGGTCTGGCAACATAACCACTATACTAAAATCGCCAGACCTTATAATTTGTTTTCATTTTATTAGTTTACAAACATCTATATTTATAAGTTTTTTTTTTTTTTTTTTTTTTTTTTTTTTTTTTTTTTTTTTTTTTTTTTTTTTTTTTGTTTGAAATTTTTTTTTTTTTTTTTTTTTTTTTTGGTGTTTTTGTTTTTTTGTTTTTTTTTGTTGTTGT